CCCCTCTATCTTCAGGAATATGTCCCCTATGTGTATCTCGTCCATGTGAAACCTGGCTAAACAGCAGTTATCCATTACACTGATGGAATGGAAGAAATAGTGACAGTATCTTGAAATGAAAAGCAGCAAAATGTTACCCTATTCTCCATTAATGTATTGTGAATCCAGCACCCAGAACGACACCGAGTAAGCCTGGAGCCAAAATAACTTTCACCCACTGGGACAGGACTGTGAAGATATCAATTGAAATGACAAATTACACAACAACATTGCATTCATATTAAGCATATGGTGCATGTATTAATGGTTTCTTCACTCTGCTGCTGACAGTATAGAGGTCATCAGGACCTCTCACTGTCTCTGTAGATCCAGCAGAGAGGAGGTTTCCCTCACCGTCCAGCCACAACACCTCAGGCTCTGGATACCAGCCTCTAGACTCACACTGTAACACCACTTTGCAGCTGGATGTGTATATTGTACTGATAGCAGGCGAGGAGACAGCACCTATAAATAAAAGAGAGGAGATATGACTTTGTTTGCAATAACATGTAGTCAAGGCGGCTGTAGGGTTAGGGTTGATGGTTACTGATGTCTGTCTGATACAAGTTAACGTTATATGTGGCCTAGTTTCTTACACCCAGGAGACTGCAGTATGTGTCCTGTGTGACTACTAGCCTTATGTCATATACCTAACTGAAGAGCAAATGTGATTTTAACCCAAACCGCCATCTTTTCCGAACCTAACCTAAGTGGCGCCATTGGTTCCTGACCGAGCATCTGTAAACGGGTTGGCTAGAGGTCCTCGTTGGCAGATTTTGTACGGTTTTGTTGAAAGATCGTAGACAAATATGAAAGTATAACTATTATAACCTAGGAGCAGGCAAATGCAACCAGAGTCACACAGAGAGAATGAAAACCCAACTTACACTCAATATGTACAGCACACAGGCTGTCAAACCGACCTCTCTGAAACTAACGAGGAAGGAGGTTATAATGCCCCCCTAACCCCCAGAAATAGGCGACCTCAGACTCCTCACACTTCACCTCGTAGGAGAAATAGATCAGAATCTCCGAGTAGAGGCTAGACACCCCACGGCCAACTCATAATTCCCCCGATCAGACGCGGTATGCAGAGGACCCTAGTGCAGAAACAACGCAGTATTTGCAACCCCCTCTCCCACACTCTCTTGCTCCAGGCCCCAGACAGCAGGCCCCACAGAACCGTAATCTGGGAGGGACAGCTGCCAGCACAAAATATGATAGGCAGGCCAAAAAACTGCAGAAGTAAAGCCCAAACTTTGAAACATTATGACCTACATGTATAGCCAGCAGCGCCACCTGTGTGGCAAACTAATGAAGGAGAGCCGTTCACTCCCCCCTCACAGACAGAGATTCTGAGGAACCCGCAAACCCCCCAGAACCTGAACCAGCGCCTGAAGCAGTTAAGCCCCCAGAACCTGAACCAGAGACTGGGGCTACAGTAAAATCTATATCGTATTAATCAAAGATTACTTACCAACGACGAGCATGATAAAAGCGGGTGGACCCAGTGAGGGAACGAGGCATCTGTACGTTCCCTCATCTGACACTCTCACTTTGGAGAGTTTCAGTGAAACGTCTCCGTGCTGCAGTTTGTTGATGAACACTGACGTTCTTCCTCTGAATGACGGCTGTTTGTGAGCTTCGTATTCTTGACGGTTTGCCCTCACATATAGAAACCCAGGGCTCAGGTCGGGTCTTGCCCACTCCAACCTCATGTCAGAAGCATTCATGGCAGGTTCCAGGCGGCACGGCAAAATGACGTCATCACCAACTGTGGCCAGTATCTGCTGAGATGGACCGATCACCTGAAGTTGACCTGAGGAGAAACAGAACTGTGGCTTAGTTTTTCTCGATTGCTAAGACACATTTCTTGAAACGGTCACCCATTTTCTCAAAACTGTAAACACAAAACCTCATCTTCAAGCACTATTTACAAAACCTCTGAATCCTCTTGCAAAATGAAACTTTCTCCTCAAAACAGTTTTACCTGTGCTCAAAATCAAACACAAATGATTTGCTCTCAAATCATAAACAAAGTGATCAAAATAATATACACTATCAAGCAGTCAGTAAACAATACACCAATAAATAGAAAACACATTGTTGAAAACATATAGTTCTCAGGGAGAAGTAGAGTTTTAATCTCAAAACAAATTTCATATGAATGAAAACATGTTCTATTACAGTAGCTCAAAATTGATCAGAAATTACTACTGTGCTTTGCTCTTTGCAATTTCTTTTGTTCTTCCTCCTCCTTGTACCCCTATTTTTACAGTACTGTACCCTGCATCTCACAAACGTGTCCTTTGTCTCTGTGATACTGTAATTCTTGTTCTTTGTTGATATGAACCTGCAACCAGTCAAAATCTGTTGAGCAGTCAGTGCTGTTACTGTAACAAATAGAAAGCACGATGTTCAAGGCCATACAATTTGTTTATTGTACATTATACAGCCTACAATGCACTGTAGGCCTACTACAGTATACAATACTACAGTAAAAGGGACAAAAATCAAAGGAGTCAACATGTCATCAATGTGCTTCTTCTTGTCTTTGGGCTGGGTCAGGCCAGAGCACTTCGTCGACATCACAAGCAATATTTTCTCTCCTGAGGCAACGGGGGAAGAAGCCTCTTGTGTGCCGTATCCAGCCCTGACATGATTCCTCACCTATATCACCACAGGCTAATGCCATGGCTTGCAGCAGATTTACTCTGGTGTAGGGTTGTCTATCATACACTTTCCATCTCCATGAGGAGAAAAACTCCTCAATCGCATTCAGGAAAGGCGAGTATGGAGGGAGGTACAAGGTCATAAACTGACCATTGATGTTAAACCATTCCCTTACCTGAGCAGCTCGGTGGAAACTGACATTGTCCAGCACTATCACATTGGTGGGAATGGGATTCTCATTTAGCTCTTGACCCTGCTGCTCAAATAAAATATCTCTTAGATTGGCCAGAAATCTTAGAAGATGCTGGGTGTTATATGGCCCGAGTGTAACATGGTGATGTAGAACACCATGGTTGCTGATAGCAGCACAGATTGTGACATTGCCAACTCGTTGACCAGGGACTTCAACAATGGCCCGCTGTCCAATCACGTTTCGGCCTCTCCTTCTCCTCTTTGTTAGATTGAAGCCTGCTTCATCGACAAAGATTAACTCATGGGGTCTGTCCAAGGATTCCAATTCAAATATTGTCTGTGTAGGAATACAATATAATGTATGTAGAATTTAGTAAGTTGTACAGAGACAGTGCTATATTGTAGAGTTCAATTAGGCCTGCTGTATGCACTTCTGATTCACATACATTGCATGTACTGAAGAGTAATGTCATTCACATAGTATGTGGCAGTACTGTAGACAATCTGGATTACAGTAAATGTGTCTGAATGTACACTTACTTGCACATACTGAGCTCGCAGCTCTTTCACCCTTGGTGAGTTGCGCTCAAAAGGTACTCTGTATACTTGTTTCATTCATATCCTGTTACGATGGAGGACACGGTCAATTGTGGAAATGCTCACACTGTCGATTCCCTGGAAGTGTGTGTTGTCTTGTATCACTCGTTCCTGGATTTCTCTGAGTCGTATTAAATTATCTTGAAGGACCATGCCCACTATAACGGTCTCTTGCTCCTGAGTGAATATAGCTCTCCTTCCACCTGCATGTGGCAGCCTTGCAGTTCTACAAAAAGTAGATGTGCAGTTACAAAAAATATTCATGCAGTACAATACATACAGTGATGAACTTTACAAATGTCTATTGAAACAGCTGCATATAGTGTAGTACAGTAAATTTGCAATTACAAAAATACAGTAGCATACTGTACCTGTTCTCTTCTCTGAATGTCCTTACTGTGGTGGACACAGAAAATCGGCTCAAATTGGGGTGCACTCTAAGTCCTGCTTCCCTCATTGTCAGTCCGTGGACTATAACATGGTCTATGACTGTTGCTCGAATTTCATCAGATATTTCCACTCTTTGTCTTCCTCTTCCTATTCATCCTCCTCTTCCTCTTTCTTGCGCTCCTCCTTTTCCTCCTCGTCGCCCACCTCGCATACGCACTTGTCCTCGTCCTTGTCCTCTCACATTGTTTCTTCTATCCATTCTCAGACTTTCTCCTTCCCACCTTCAACCACCTGTTTGCTCTCTAAACTGGCTTATATTGGTTGTGTCACATCATTTGATACAAGTGAAATCAATTTTGAGTGATTGTGTTTAATCAATGACATGTGTTCTCTATTTGTATTTGATTGTTGCCACTTGTGTTTACCAGTATGGATGACATGTGCATTAGAGTGCAGAATGTGTTTTGAGACTGAGAATGTGTTTAGAGTTTTGCTGAAAAGTCTAAGTGAGATCTGCAAATTGTGTTTTACCATGTGAAACAGTTTAAGGTATTGACAACAGACTGCACAATTAGCTAAATGAGTTCAGGCAACTGAGAACTTTGTTCAGCCAATGGGTTTTAGTGTTTTAGCAATTGAGAAAAACTGTAATTCCGGCACTCCCCACTTCCTTTTTACACTTCACGATAACATAAGCGGCTGAAACTCAGAATCTGTTGAGTATCAATCAATTTGGATGCAAATCTTTGAAGTTAAAAGTTGATTTGTGTCCTTTGGCTTCTAAAGCACAGAGTGGTTTTATTCACGTGTTGCACCACAGTTACCTCCGTGTAGCTGTGACAGGAGAAGGAAGACGATGAGGGGACGAAAAAGCAGATCTGTGAAGTCACTGAAGTGCCATGATTGAGCATCAGCAGATTCAGCAGATTCAGCATCCCATAATCCTGAAAATGAACACAAAGTTGTAAAATGGAAGAAAATGATTATCCGGGTTGTGTTCATGATAGTTACAAAGATTTGCTTGAAAGTAAAGAAATCTTTCGACACTATAAACATTAAGCTTCGGGCCGTGCTGAATCACTTTGTGAAGGAAAGTGATGCAGTCTGGTTTGCCGTACTTTTAATTCACCTTTGTGTGTTTTTCTCTTCACATGCTGTGTGAGAATCTGTTGCAAGATGCAAAAACAGAACTATTTCTCTGTAAAAAAACAAATCATGCATCTTCAGTGCTCGCCTGAAGAATGTGTTTCTGTATGCTGCAATCGTGGTTCGTTAAAAGGAAACCACAATAACTGCTAGTTCCAGGAAGTGGCCCTCCTGTCACATGCGTTGTTGTTTAAAGACCAAGCTGCTTAAGATCAGATGTAGTGCAGAAGAGTTGAAGCTAAATTCCATTTGAAGTTTAAATACTTTATACTCAAAAACTTCGATGATGCTTTCCAGACATACAGATTTATGATAGAACGATAATAAATATGATACGATAATAGCTTCTGTGTAAGTCCTTCACCGGATGAGCATACTCTCAGCTACGACATGAGATGCTGCGTCACAGTTAAAGTAACTTTACAAACATGATGGATTCAATTCATTTCCACCACTCAAATAATCTCCAGGTTGTTTTTAAAGCCACGTACCTTCCCAGCTACCTGCTTGGTTCCAATCTTTCCCTTACTGTTAAGTGTAAAGGTGCAGCTACTTCTAGTTCAAGTTGGTGCCGCGTGAGCTATTTGCTTTGTTGTTATCAGAGTGACTTCCTCCTTCATTTATCACGTGCAATATGACTCATGCAGTCATGTAGGCGGTGCTCAAGTAAATGATTGTAATGAAGGTGTTTTAGTGCTTTCAAGCCAAACTGCCTCTGCTCCCTGCACCATGACAGGACCTGGACCCAGCAGACTCAGAATCAGAGACAGTTTATTGCCGAGTACGCTTGCACATACAAGGAATTTGGCTTGGTGATTGGTGCGTGACTATAAACAGTGCAATAGTGCAGGACATCATTTAAAAATTATAAATACAAGAATTTACAATAGGATAATGATTAACAGACAAGTTTAGAGGCTCATTAGAAGATGAACTGTTTGATTTCTCTCATTCCTCGTGTGCCTTTTAGGGAGCATGGGGAGGCACCACCTGAATGATTCAGGTGGTGCACTTCATCAAGTTTGCACCTCATGTTGCGGGTGGTTCAATGAACAGTGAAAACTAAAGGTCTATATACCCTATAGGACCTGAATACAAGACAATATTTAAATTTTTAATTTAAATTTAATTTAATAAACGTGACACTTCATTTGTTACGTGTTTTATGGGGGTTAACTGCCAAAAAAAATGTGAAAAATATACTTTTTACCGTGCTGCTACCCGTCTTTCTCTTTGGTTTGTCAATCGTCATCTACTGTGTGTAATACACCGACCTATGACTATGAAACTCATTCAACCCCACTCTACAAAATCTGAAATCACCCCTTTAATGTTGGCTAGTTTAATTATGTTTACCGTGCACACACAACTCGAATAAGCGTATTTCCCCCAACAACAGCCTATTCCTTTAAGAGCTGAATTATGGTAATAGAATCGATTTCATTAAAGCATGTGCTGGTGATGACTAACACATATTTCTGTTGATTCCATGAAATGCCAAACCTTTAATAGTAAACTATTGCCAATACACAGTGAGGACGAGTTGTACAACCTGTTTGGTTTGGTTTTACACCTCAGGAGTTTGGATCGGAGCCAAGAGATCAGGGGTAAGAAGTGAACGCCTCAGTGTGATCAGAGGGAGGAGAGACCCTGACAGACGATACATAGAGGAGAACGTGTCACATGTCATCACTGATCCTCACCTCTGTGTTCTTCAGGAGGGGTTCAAACACTGATGGATCTGAATTCAATCAAAGTGAACGGTGAGTAGAAAAAAGATTGTGAAAAAAAAATCTGTAGCCCTGAATAAATCAAAAGTGCTTCTGCAACAACAACGGGCCTCAAGAAGAGCCAGTCACACAAAGATTAGCTCTTAAACAGCTCGCACGAGAGATTTCAGAGAATGTTTCACACTTTACAGTTTTTGTTTTATTATTTTCCTCGCGTTCCGCTGGTGCAGATTGAAGAAATCCGGTCGCTTCAGTCTTTTGTTCTCCTCCAGTTTACCTGCTCTGGACAGGTGAGCCATGCAACGTTCCCATTAATCTTGCATCATGATGCAGATGTTATTATTATAAATATTAATTACTAGTTCATTGGTTGCCGAGAATTTGCCTGAGCTAATGGCTATCCATGTTTAAAGAAATTAAGCGTGAAACAAACAAAGTTAAACACAAACAGTATAAGTACATCATGATGTCAGCTGTTTCCTTTATTGGTGGACATGTTGAGTAGTTTGATTGGTTCAGCTTTAAAACAGCAGCGTGAGAGCTGATTGGTTGAATCAGAAGGTTGCCCTCATGTTGTTTCTGGTGTTTGTGATGTCCAGCTCCAGCTGAGTGATCCTCACCTGCACAACAGAAACAATCACTGTAATAGTGATAAGTTTAAATCTTATTGGTGTTTGGCCTTTGACTTTTGTGTGTTTGAATACGAACATCTTTGGCATAGAGTTGTTGTCTCAGGCCTCTGATCTCGTCTTGCTGTCTGTAAAATGCCTGCAGAAGCTGAAATTAGAGAAACAAGTCTCTTGGCAGGAAGAGGAGAAACTCCAACCTAAACATTTGCACACTCAGTATTCTCACGTGCATATCTGAGCCTCACCTCGCTCTCGGTTGTGGGCGGCGGCCTCTCTGCAGGTTCACAGCAGTGCGGCGTGCAGCAGTACGTCCACAGCGGGATCTGGGTCTCATCTGGCTGCCACCCCGACAGATCGCTCATCTCCCTGGGGTACTTGGCATGCTGGTAGGCCAGCTGCTCCTCAAGGAAGGCCTCAAGAGAAAGGATCAGCTGGTTTATACGACAGCAACAAAACAGAGCTGGACAGAACTTTGAGACAAGTTGAGTTTACTGTAAACAACAGCTACAAGAAGTCTTTCATTTGATCACAGAATTGCTTTTCTCCAGATGTTAAACTTTGCAGCAGTTCTACTTTGGGCATGCCACTTCTATTTAATCCATTTTACACTGAGCTGAAAACTCGGTTTTCGAAAAGCTCTAGATTTACCAAACTACCTACGTTGCAACCCTCAACTATGTTCACCAGCTTTAGGTAGTGAAAGAACAAATTAGATTGCGACGCATTTGAGCTCCGGGTATTGAAACGACCAGTGATTTACGAAGGGAGTTCCTGTGGAAAAAACAAGTACAACCTCAAGTACTTTATGCACATACTGTCTTTGCTTGACCTATTTTTCAAATTCGTGGCGATTTCTTACTTCCTGGCGCACGTTGGTTGCATAAGAACTTATTTCAGACTTTGTATCTGCACTGTGCAGTGAACACAGCTCATTGTGCTGATTATGGCTAGAAGGTCTTGGAATTGAGACCTTGAAGGCGTCACACATGTTGTCTGACTGTAACTCAGCTGCCAGCTGTTTGACATTCCAGTGCTGACGTGATTATACCTCTTCCATAATGTCCAGGTTGGGCCCGGTCTCTGCACCGACAGCCAGATCCATCTGGAACCTCAGGGAGCTCAGCTGCCTCATGAGCCCTTTCTCAGCCGGGGTTTCTGGGTAAGGGTTGGCTACCCGAGTCCCAGGCTTCAAGGACATCAGCACTGGGCCTGATGGAGATATGTCAGAGAGGCATGTGTCTATCATATATCTGTCAGCCATTTTGGCTTGAAGACACTAATGCATTACTGACTTCTGTTGATCCCCAACAGCCACTCCTGAGCCGTCATGGCCGCCTGGTTTCCAGCTGTCAGTGGGTACAGATCCTCTTGGAAAATACCCGACTGGAAGGACGAAGAAAACGCGGAAACTAGTTTCTGTCTTTATCATCAGTAAATGCAACAAAATAAGAAATGTGAGGTAAACATATTTGCTCACCTCTTTTCGGGGTACGATCATTGACAGTGGTTCCACCAGGTCTTTGATGGCGATCAGACGGTAAAATCTGAAAACTTCACAGGCGCTCACGTCCAGGCCGCGCTTTGGCATCACCCCTGAAGTGATGTAACACATCAAAGGTATGTATACCTTTGTAACGTCTAAAATGACCTGCTCTGTTTTTTTAGGTGGTTAGAAATAGATTTGTCTCAGCTAGCTACATTTGTTCTCAAATAAGTTAATATTGTCTTTGTTTAAAGTGTAAATGGAGCTAGTTCCAAAATAAATTTGGTTCAGCCATCTAAATTGGTCTTCCTCTAAAGTAAGTATTACACCTAGCTTAGTTGGTCTCTCTCTAACGCTACAGCTAGCTTTATTAATAAGTATTAAGTAAATTAAAAACTGATGGTTTTATATGACAAACCAAGATAATCTCTTAAGATTGTGTTTGTGGAGCTTTCTTCCTCTTTATTCAAGAGCTTGTTTTTTTCATTTTGAGTGCATGACATTGATTTCACTGCAGATTTTGTAATGCTCTCCTTCAAAACCCGATCCTCACATGCAAATTGAGATTTCAAAATCTGAAGTGAAAAGTCATGCCCTCAAAATGAAAGACCACCCTCTTGAAGTTAGGAAAATAAATTTCCATTTGTGTGAACCACAGAGCTTATTTCAGGCATCTTTGCAAAAATCCAATCAAACAAGCCATTGACTTTGAGACAAGCGAACAAGAAGGGAAAAAATGCTGACTCATCTCAGGGTATTGGGGCTCAGTCCTGCAGCACTCTATTGGTTGGTAGGTAATAGTAATGAATGAAGACACAACATTTAAAAAAATGTTCTGCAAGTGTGTTGATCTCACCAAGTCCTTTCTGTGGCAGCAGAGACCTGTACTCCATCAGGAAGCTGATGTAAGGTTTCTCAGTGCTCAGCTCGTAGTACCGGATGTTCCCGTCACCCTAAATCAAGGCATCAGTTTTGTGTGGCACATTCGATACTAGCGTATTTAGGCAACTTCGGATCGGTAACATTTTTTGCATCAAAAACTAAACTGAAATGCAAAAAAGAGATATATGGTGAAGTTTTGTAAGGCGCAATCCCAACCAACTGCAGGAAATAAATCCAAGAATTATGGGTCGATGTGTGTGTGTGTATGTGTGTGTGTTGTCTGACCTTTCCTGCTAAGTAGAGCATGTGTGTGTCTGGGTCGTAGAACGGGAAGAGGACTCCAGCAGATCCGTCCAAATCTTCTTCATACAGCGGCTCAGATAAATCGTCCTGCACACAAAAAACATTAAATCTATTCAAATAATCAATCACTCGGTTAGCTGTAGAAGTGTGTCTGTGTCTTACAGGGTTCCAGAGGACGATCTGTCTGTGGTTCCAGGGTGAGCTGCCGGTCGACAGAAGCATCTTCAAACCTCCGATGTATAAAACTTTGCTGGATCTGTGAGACTTGCTGCTGGACACCTGCAGGAACGCAATTAAAAAGTTTCAGTTTTTTACACCTTCAGTTGACATGAATACCTCAAAAACACACCTGTAGGATCCGTCCTGTCCGTGGGTCCAGGACTCGAACCCGTCTGTCTTTGGACGTGACCGCCAGCCTGCTGCCGTCACTGTTGAAGCTGACAGACAGCAGCAGCGTATCGGATGGGTAGCGGTGGTGGATGGGCATCAGAACCACCCGGACCGGGTACCTGATCACCGCACCTACCTGGGACACATCCCAGAGGAGGACCTGGGGCAAAAAGAGAGACAACGTCAGGGCTGTTTCTCTCGGTGAAAAATATCTTAATATTTTACAATGATATGATAAAAAAGTACAACACAATGATGGTTATGATTTACTACGTTAAAACGGATTACAATTCCTAATCACAAAAAGAACTACAATAACAAAAGTGCTGATTTGTACGTTGCTTTGGACCAAATTAAATGTCAGAGTAACGACTTTGACTGAGACCGCCACCGACCAATGAGGATCCTCACCTTGTAGTCGTAGGCGGAGCTTAGCAGCAGGTTCTCAGCTGTCGGATGCCACTCAATAAGCGCCACCCTCCTGGAGTGACCAATCAGAGTCTTCCTGGCCTTGATGAGGTTCTGTTGGACGCCACAGACCGGGATGTCCCAGATCTTCGCCTGCACACAGACAGTACTGGGTTGTGTTTACTATACTTGCGGGGACATTTCGGCTTAAACAACATGAATGTAAAGACAAAGGACAGGACATTGTGCTTACAGTGCAATCCTCTGAGCACGAGGCGATGCAGTGATCGTCAAACGGGTTCCACTTGACGTCCAGGACCCTCCCACTGTGACCGCACACCCGCGGGTGCTGAGGGTCCACCCTGCCTGTCTGAGAGAACAGCGCTGTCTATTAATTAGGTCAAAGCTAACCAATAATACTCAAACTATTCATCCTTTTATCATGTGATGAAACAATTATGGACGTTTCTATCACAGGTATACGTTTGTTTACAATATGAAGAGCTCATTGACTTTGGTCTTAAAAGCACACAGCATTTTTAAGTTTTCTTTAGAATTTTTGAAAACAAGTTTTTCATTCCACAGTTGTTAGTATTTTGTGTAGGTAATGCAACAAAAAAGGAAAAATGCCAAGGTGGTTCAGTACTTTTGCTAGTCACTGTATTAGCGTATTTTACGGCGCTGTGTCAGCCATATTTCGATAGATCCTGTTGGATGCATGGCACCTGGTCGCTACGTTTGACGTCTATAAACAACCCAAACTATGGCGGACTAAAGGCTTTTATTATACATTTCTTTCTGTTTGTTTTATCCATTTATTTATTGAGTCATTTGTTTCAATATTTTTGTTTATTTATTAAAATGTCATGTTTCGTCCTCCATACCAAACAGTCTAATCCTTTTCAGTGTTTATGGTGTTCAACAGGAGGTGATGACCACGAAGGACTACGCACATGATGGAGGGGCAGGACTAAAAAGGACCCGCCCCCGGCGCACTCCGTCACCACGGCGATGAAGCAGGGATTGGCTGAGCAGCAGTGGTTGTCATGGACGCTGCGCGTGATCGGCACTCCGTCGTAGCCGCGCTCCTTGGTGGACGGCTTCCCGAAGACGTGACGAAACTTGGAGCAGCGGAAAGACGAACGCCACGACATCTGGAGGACGGCAAGTTTAAAGGTTTTTAAAACTTTATAAGCAGTTTGAA